GACCTTCCATGGACCAACCCAACCCTCCTTGGACCTTCCATGGACCAACCCAACCCTCCTTGGACCTTCCATGGACCAGCCAAACCCATCCAAACCTTCCATGGATCAACCCAACCCATCCAGACCTTCCATGGACCAACCCAACCTTCCATGGACCAACCCAATCCTCCTTGGACCTTCCATKGACCAACCRAACCCATCCAAACCTTCCATTGACCAACCCAACCCTCCTTGGACCTTCTAAGGTGGAACCCCCTGTAGATGGAACCTCCTTAGATGGAACCACTGCAGATGGACCCATCCAACCCCACCGGTATGAGCCGCTGACCATGGGCCCCACCTGGAGCCCCCAGATGTTCTCAGCCCACCACCTGAGCCCACCTTCATCTCCTCCTCCAGCTGCCTCCGCAGGTCCTCCAGCTGTTGGGTGTAGGACACCTTCCCRCGGGTCAGCTGGGACACCAGCGCCTCCTTCTCCTCCAGCTGCCGTGACAGCTCACCTGCAGGGGTGGGCGGGGCTTCAGGGGTGTGGCTTCAGGTGTGGGGCTGGATGGAGGTGGGTGGGGCTTCAGGTGTGGGGTGGGGTTGAGATGGGTGGGGCTTTGGGTGTGGGGTGGGGTTGGCGTGGGGTTTCAGGTGTGGGGCAGGATGAAGATGGGTGGGGCTTCAGGTGTTGAGCGGGGTTAACCTGGGGGTTCAGGTGTGGGATGGGGTCAGCAGGCCGCTTCAAGTGTGGGGTGGAAATGGGTGGGATGGAGGCGTGGGGCAAGAGGAAGATGGATGGGGCATCAGGTGTGGGGCTGGATGGAGGTGGGTGTGGCTTCAGGTGTGGGGTCAGGTGGAGATGGGCGGGGTTCCAGGTGTGGGGTGGGGTCAGCATGGGGGTTCGGGTGTGGTGTGGGGTGCAGGTGGGTGGGGTTCAGGTGTGGGGCAGGGGCGGGGCCACCACGGGTCAGCTCCCACCATTCTCCGTCTGCAGCTTGGCCCGCTGGGCGTTGGCGTCATTGAGGACACGTTGGGTCTCTTCCAGCTTGGCCAAGTGCTCGGCAGCCTGGTCCTCCATGGAGCGCGACACCTTCTCCATGGCCACCTGCGGGGACGGGCCGAGGCCACCATGGAGTGGATACACCCCATGGCTGGAGGTGGCCGAGGCCAGGTTGGACAGGGCCTGGAGTCACCTGAGCTGGGGGACGGTGTCCCTGGGTGGGTTCTACCCAACCCGGCCCAACTGTTTGGAGATTATTCAGCTCAACCAGCTGAAGGTTCTTCAACCCAACTCAGCAAGGGGGGTGCTCAACCCAACCCAATCCAATCTGACTCAACCCAACCCAACCCAACCAGCTGAAGGTTCTTCAACCCAACTCAACTCAACCCAACCCAGCAAGGTGGGCACTCAACCCAACCCAATCCAATCTGGCTCAACCCAACCCAACCAGCTGGAGGTTCCTCAACTCAACCCAACCTAACCTGGTGGAGACCCTTCAACCTGACCCAACCCAACCATGGAGATTCCTCAACCCAACCCAACGAGCTGGAAACTTTAACCCATCCCTGTCCAACCCAACCCAATCACGGAGATTCCTCAACTCAACCCAACCCAACCATGGAGACTCCTCAATCCAACCCAACCATGGAGCTTCCTCAACCCAACCCCACCAGCTGGAAACTCTTCAACCCATCCCAGTCCAACCCAACCCAATTATGGAGATTCCTCAACTCAACCCAACCCAACC